AGTTGGCACTCACCAGTTAGCAAGACGTGTCTGCAACCAACAGACATCAACAATTTAAAGTGTACCGTGATGTCGAGCTACCTAGAATGGCGGCCACATTGCAAAACTGACTGACTGCTAGAATTCAGACTGCACCAAACAAAGGACTAGGCACATCACACCAGTTACTAGTGCCTACTCAAAGTATCCACTAAAGTCCTCCAGGAGGTTAATCGCGAACCTTAAAAGCTCAGTGGTAACGTCTCTGACTGCATCACTGCACTATGTGACTCGGATTCGAATCTCAGAAGGGATATGATCTCCTTCAAGGTTTCAGGTGCGTACGCCTTGCTGACTGGTGAGCGCCAACTAGCACGAAACCTAGGTTGAGCAAGGCTTCTTGTGGCCGATAGCCTCCAACCAGCTAACATAAACTAAACACTGTGTTATTAGAAGCGCTAAAGCTACTCTTCTCTTTTAAGTCTAAATGTGTATCTTCGTGTCTTACTTCTGCATCGTTTGGGTTTTGTATATGCGATGAGTAAATGCGATACATAATTTTTGTTCAATAATGCTCTTATGATACTCTTATATTGCATTCATTATAGTTATATTTAAAAAATATGATATATGATATAATAATATATAGTGATAATATGTATTAAATAATTCTGTGCCTGGAACATTGTTCATCTATTAACAATGACAACGGGTGGATGTGTGCATGCTGTATGTCTTCTCATCACAGCAGGGGAGAATTTAACAAAAGAAAAGAAAATGAAAATATTTTTTATTGAAGTGAATTAAAACACATTATAATTAGTCATAATTTATGAGAAATTAATAATTGTGAATACAAATTTATATATTTACACCGGTATCTATTTAACCCTTCAAGTATCCAACCACCGGTTTTAGACATCCTTACACAGGTTCAGTAAAACTCTTTGCTTTTTTCATACACTTCAAACATAACATGAGGTACTCTATCACTGTGTTATGACTATCCTCGACTTTCGTTCAACGTAATCTTGTTACAGCTAACATTTTAGCTTTGGGTAATGCATACACAATCCCATCAAAAAGAAGTACATTTCAAGGAATCCTGGTTTGATTGGTTGAAATATTTTATCATGAGTTGACGTCAGTTAGAGAACCATTGAAAAACCTAGGGGTACTGGACGGCTGTTTCGTCTCATTTTGGGACTCTTCATCAGTACTCACCTGCTGGGGTCGAAAACCAGGACCTTCTGGTGACAAGGTGAGCTCGTGGACCATTAAGCCATTGCTTGCTGGATGTCAAACGTTAACTGTTTTCATTAGGCGATTGTCAGCGTATCTAAGCTACGTTAGTTCAAGTATCGTTGATAATCACAGATCGCTCACCTTTAACAGGCATGTTGTACTGTTATGTCACAAGATGTATGACATTGTTATATATTACACTTGAGAATAGAACTTCAGCATTATGGTAGAGTGTAATTCCATCATGGAATAACAGTTCAATTACGCATGATCATTTCAAAGTACTGAAATAACTTTCAAATATTTATTTTTACATAATTCCATTGTTCCTTATCCTTTGATTTTTTATTGGTAGTAATATTTTCCATGTTTCTGATATCTAGCTTTGTGTCATTCTTATTGTATATGTTTGGTATGGATGCAGTGATCATGCACTATCCCTCCACCTACCTGTATATATATATATATATATATATATATATATATATATATATATATATATTACTTTTGAGAACTGTAGCTTTGTCCCACCCTATTGTATTGTTGTGTATTAATGCATGCATTGCGATCAGTGTCTGTAAGTATGGTATGTACTTTGCGCCGTCTAAGTGCAAAGTACTGTTACAAGATTGGCAGGAGCCTGTACCTGCACTCACTCTTGCTGGTGAACCACTTGAAGTTGTTGATAAGTTTGTGTATCTGGGTAGTTGTATGAGTGCTGGCGGAGGGATGACGGATGAGATTTCCAACCGTATGTGAAGGCTAGAGTGGCATACATCAACTTGAGCCACCTATGGCGCCGTCGCGATGTTAGCGTAGCTGTCAAAGGTCGGGTATACAATGCTTCGGTGCAGGCTGTCTTGCTCTACGCCTGTGAAACGTGGCCTCTCCGAGCTGGGGATATGCGGTGACTCTGCGTGTTCGATCATCGCTGTCTCCACAGGATTGCTTGCGTTCGATGACATCATCGCGTGGGTAATTCTGAGGTTCGGCGGCATGTGTTTGAACACAGTGGAGATCAACATACACTGAGTGTCGTCATCTGGAAACACCGGATCCGGTGGCTTGAGAATTGGCTGCGAATGCCATCCAAAGGCTTCCGTACAGGTGTCTGTTCACTGGCCTTGGGCGGGATGGAAAAGGCGGAGGGGTGGTCAATCCATGACATGGGATGTAGAATATTTTTGCCAGATTAGCATCGGTTGGTGCGTCACGTCTCCCTGGTTGGGGTCCACGAGATAGCTCGAGTCGATAGCTCAAAACGTCATCGGATATGACCAAGAATCGTAATCAATGGCGAACGTGTTGCAATTTCCTTCTTTCTTCCCTTCCCGACGATAATTGACGAATGCTGTTTGAACTTGTTAAGCATGACTGTCTTCCTTCAGATGAAGTTCTTTATCCGTTCTCTACTTATATTTTTTAACTTTTGATCTATGTTGTTTTCTTATTATTGTGTGGCGCATCTTCTTGGTCCCATATTGTACCAAATTTTTTCTGCGTTTAAATAATAATAATGCATTGCGATTGTTGAGTTTACCTGTAAATTGTTCATCTTCATGAAGTAAAAAACATTCTACACTTCGCTCAGATCGTTTGTCCCGGTAATCTGACTACCCCATGGTTTCATCATGAGCAATAAACTGTGCTCAGAACGTCTTCCAGTGACCAATAATGGATCGCTATGTTGTGCATGCCTTTATCAAATAAAATTATTCTGTAATGGAAGTATATTACTTTTAGTTATTAATAAGTAGTGTTAGGCAGTAGATAATTGACATCCCATAGTTTTTATTTACCAGTCTATTTATTATTTCAACAAAACATATATGTGTTTAACGTTTTCAACTTTGCATTTTTTTCACTAAATTACTTATATTGTGTTAAGTTTTTATTGAAAACCTTGATGTTTCATTTGAGTTTCAATACTGACCGAAAAGCTTTATAACATCCTTCTTCTTGAACTAAATTAGATAGCTTTGTATTTGGACGCTGATATCGATATATTGAGGAGTCATGACTAAATATGAGATAAACACGTGATTCTCTCAAGGATTCGTAACAACATTCTCTGAACTACTAGTCCTTCAATCTACAAACTGAACTACGAGACACCGTGATGACTCTACTAAAAATGATGGCGAGTGAATGAATGAATATAGTATGGTAGAAATGATGGAGAAGATTTGTAGATGTGTACTATAAGGTGGGAGAACTATTCACTGTTTGTCTAGACACTATCTGCAGAGAAGACCTTTAGATATGAAGTGGACTTCAATTCTTAGAATTCTTCATTAGTTTAATAACTGCCTCTCCCAGTAATCTTGAGCGCGGTTCGTTGCTTCCGAAAGTTTCATCGCCCTCTTGTTCACATGTTAAACAAATTTAGCCATCAAAAGACATAGTGATGTAGATTAAGATCATCAAACAAATCAGCCAAGAACCTATTACACAATAGATATGCAGAAGGAGATGGATCGGACATACGCTGAAGAAACATTCGAGTGAAATCACACACGAGGTTTTTTGGTGCAACTTGAATGGAAAGTATTTACAGGGGCTTGTGAAGAGATCACATGAGCAGAAGAGGTTTTGCGCGGTCATGGAGTCAATTAAAAGTGAAAGAAGAGAACGATCGTGACAGAGGACTGTCGTTAAAACTCTGTGTTTCACTCGAAGCGTAAGGAATGAGTACTAGGTTTACCGAGCAATAAAAAGGAGGATACGTGGACCAGTGGTCAACTAAATAGTCAGTACTACTACAAGTGGAGGCAAAGTTAACTTTCGACATCACTAACAACAAATCAGCAAACGACCTTGGATGGACCAATTACATTAAAGAGACATTTATGATAAATGGAAACGTATATTTACCGAAAAGAGCATAACACGGTTACGGGGGTATCTTTCCTTAACATGTGAGAGAAACATCTCCCAGTTAAGCATCGGACTGTAAGCAGAAAAGTTACACCACATTCTGTACATGTATTCATCTAAATGACTACAAATGAGATCCTTTTTAAATCCATTTATAGCCCTTATCCTATCTTTCAACCTCTCCCAATATCCTTCAACAGAATTTGTATGAGTCCTCGTAACGGGATCCACAAAATCACTTGAATGGTTGACTCTGTGATGAATATATCCCAGAGGTGACAGTGAATTGTAACCTTTCATTCGTCCGTGTTTATTATTGATTCCCGTTTTACAAGTCTTATAATAATAGGTATTAGAGTAGTTGCCTTTCTATCTGCTATTCTTCCCACGAATCCTTTTCGGAGGGAGGTGTCGTATAAAACTGATACCCAGATATTGTTCGCTCGCTGGCGACCATGGTTGTATTTCTTTTTCACTAACACAGTTTCATCCACGTACACATTAACGTCTTCTCCACCCAACAAAGAAGTGATTTTCTCCATTTTCCAAGAAGCAATATCTCTGCAATGCTGGTACCATTGAACTGTTGAGACGACGCTATTCTCCATCTCAGCAGCTGCGGCTATCATTGGCTGTTTGAATACCTAGTAGTTGCAGATATACAAAAATTTTATTATTTTTTTTTCTATTACAGCTTGATTCTACACTGTATTTTTGGTACAAGTATGGAATTTTCAGCATGGATATTGGTAGCCCAAATTTCGCAGGTCGACCATAGATATCGGGTGTGCATCGGCGGAGGATCTAACCTCGGACTACGTGCATGGTCGGCGAGAGTCTTAGCCACTGTGCCACCGGCGCACAGGGAGGAGACGTGTGACCTTGCAACAAAAGTTCCTACGAAATATTAAAATTATCAGCTTACCCTCTCTAATGCTAACTCGCTTCAAGCATATTGCACAACGATGGACATATCCATCAGTTGACCTGCTATAGCTTTTTAAAGCCATGACACCACCACACAAATAAGTTCGCTCCTTCCGGAGCAACCTTAAATCCAGGCAATACTGGAAAACACCGTCCTCTTCGAATTGCAACCGTAACCTTGTTAGGGCAACATTTGAAATGAATCAAGCGCTATACAACATTGAACTAACGTTTGTGAATCTCATTGGACCATTTGACGTCGTTCGCTGATTGGTACTTAGTGGTGTTTAAAGTTTAACTTGGCCCGAGTGGATAAGAGGATGAAGTAACCTCCGGAAAGAACGAGACACGTTCAGGCTCACCAGAAAAGAGTTAATAAACTCATGTAAAATTCTAAAAGCTTACTTCATACGGAAGTCGGCGGTGGAGATGTTGTCTAGAGAGACAATGAAAGCTTCAAAATTAAATTGTACGGCTCAGGAAACACGACGCAATCAATATACAGTGTTACTTTTACCGAAGACAGTGTAATTACCCTTTTCAGTTTCAAATATACGGGACTGATGAACAGTCAAATGATAACTTTTCATCTTAATAAAACTCAAATACTTTTATACATTCTACTCAGTGTGTAGTGCTAATGCGTAAGTGAAACTTTGATAAGGAATGTCTTATCAATCAATAAACGCCTAGACTTTATCTTTCTGAGTTTCCATCCATTGATCTTCCTTGATTTATTGAGCTTTATGTATACAATTACAAAAGACTGTTTTACGTCTTCGTAAATGTACTTGGGATTGTACAACCTTTTAAGATGACTTTATTGATTGAAAAAACATTTTCCTCCTCTAAACTGTCTTTTATTTTCCTCATGAATTATTATACTTACATAACTGTCAATCATCTTGATTTTGCAGATAGTCAACTGTATGGATATGGTTTAATGGATGCTGGTAAAATGGTTCGACTTGGTGAATTATGGCGTGGTGTTCCTCCACATCATCGATGTACTTCAAATGTGATAGATGTACAAAAGTAAATTACAGTTTAAAACTATGCCCGCCTCCATCCCTCCCTCTTTTTTTTGCATTTTGCTAATTGTTTATTTTAATGGTTATTATAAGTCTATTTGAATATTTTTGTTGAGACGGCGTATATGGGAAGAAGTTATTCAGTGGGGGAATTTCTGAGTCGTAATTCAGCATATTTCTTTTAGCTGTTATATTTTCGTCATGAACTAACACTAGTTAGAGAGATCACTGAAAACTAGGGAGTATTGGACAGTTTTTTAGTCCTATCTTAGGACTCTTCAGCACCCCGTACCCACGACACCAACTGGTATCCAGTCCAGGACCTTCAGGTTTCAGGTCGACCGTTCATCTACTTGGGACTCAACAACCGTCCATTGTGTTTGCTGGCTTTCCTTGATCTATATAACTGATGTTGATTTGTGTTAACAATCTCTACAGTAGGATGCAACAGGTTGAAAGTGAGGCAGCAACTCATCGAAGAATACACTGAGAAGTGATCGCGCTATGTCGTGAATTGGCAGAAGTTAGAATTCATGCGTTCGCCATTGGATCGGGTCAGATGCCAGTGACAATGGTCTACGAGCTCGCTAGCCTTCTAACTAGAAGGTCCTGCGTAGGTTCGTACTGATGAAGAGTCCCAAGCCAGGAGAAAACAGTCGGCTGTTCAGTACTTCCAGCTGGTTTTCCAATGGTTCTCGAACTGATGCCAGCTCATGATGAAATCCTCCAAGCAATCGACTTTTTTATCCAAGCATGTCTTTGCTGTATTTCGAATAGTTTCGTGTTAGATTGCAGACTGACATCAGTCAGAGAGTCATTGAAGATCAGGGAGTTCGATCGATAAGTTTATATTGCGAGTAGGGAATCACGGTTAAGCCTTTCTTAGTTTACGGATCCTCAAAGCTGTATATAGGTGATCCATTGTGTTGTAACGGAATCTCCACAGACACACTTTATTTGAACCTTATACACTGAGACATCGTTTTTGTTATTTGATGAAGGAAGGATATTTGTAAGGAAGGTTTTTCTACTTTTCTCATCTATTTTTTAAAATAATCCATATCTTTGCATTAAGCTTTTTTTTGTTCAACGGTAATCTGTAAAGCGTGTCAATTTTAACCATATATGAAGTATCATTATTCTTTAAAAAGTTACGAACTCAATTTGTTCGTTAATGTTTGCCCTAAACATGGGATGTGATATTGTCACCAAAAAAGCTACTGATGTTTCTTTGTGTTGTTTGGTGCTGAATGGATTCTACCAGTCAGGTTTGCAAAGAGGCCAGCAACCTGGGTGACTAGTCATTTCAGGGCACTTCGAATTGATATTGAATGGTTGGGGGCTATTGACAGGGTGCTTTAGCCTTTGGTTTCGTACTTGTTAGTATTCTTCAACAGGGCATATCTGCAGTCTCGAAGGAATTGATATCCACATTAAGGATTTGAACCAGCGTTACCTAGGACTGTAATCATTGTGTGTACTATTGTGCTTTTCGGGCTCGCCACTGATTGGTTACTAGAATGTAACCCAAGTTTATGTTTCCAGCATACTTCATTCAGTTCAGGGATCCTGTGCTTGGACAGTAGAATTCCTTCTGTACTAAAATTGAGAACAACACACTTCGAACACCATTTTTATAACAGATTACTTTGCCCTGTATATAAATCCTAATAAGATGTGTCTTTCGTAACCCTTTTTATGTATACACCAGGAATTTAGGTGGGAAATTCAATCATACATTATTTCTTAACTTTTCTGGATGTCAACCTAAAACTCAAGACAATGAATCCTTGAATAAGTTGAATAAATCCACTTCAGAAAATGGTACACCTATACGTATTTGGAACATGTACAAGTTTATGCTGATATTGTATATCAACGTAGAGGATTATTACGACTATCTGTAATATCTCCAAGTGGTATGTTAGTCACTTATTAATTTCATTTATATGAAACCATTTTTGTTTGGTGTAAGTATTCTGAGTATCCTGAGGGAAATAGTCTCGTACATTTAACTCATCTAGACAGCTTCGTTTCAATTGAAGGTGGTACATATGACGATGTTAAAGCCAGGATACAGAAAGAATATACCAATCCGGAATAATTGTGGAGCTCTATAGCACCCAGCGCAAGGAACAACACCCTAATTTGTAACACTAATGTCAAGTCAGGATTTCTATATAGTTCAAAGTATTGGCGCGTAGATCATTAAAGGCATTTCCAACAGCCTTCTGCAGAATTTTGTCAATACCTGCCTTCGCTAACTCGATACTAAATATCAGATAGCTGTCTAAGAAGGGATAGACAACAGAGGACTCTTGCGAGTAGCGAATCATCCAGGAAACTGCTGTTGACTCAAGAAATGTGCTAAGGGAAATGAAGATAGATTGGAAATACAAATGAGGAGATATTCAAGTGATGTCGAATGATCCCCGAAAGGGAAGTAACGAGTTTGGCGTAGGCTCAACAGTGACATGGATAAAAGAAGGAAATGAAAGCTTCTGAGTGGTGTTGAGGTGTCCATGGAAAATAATAACAGACAGTTTAGTGACTCTAATGTCCTGCGTCCCACTCCAAGAGACGAATAAAGAAACAACAATAGCTTTTTGGATCAGATTATATCGTTTTATTTACGTTTTTAATCAAATTCGTTAGAAATTCTGTTCCAGTTACTAAGTACAGTCTTCTTCTTTAACTGAGGAGTTTCTCATTTGCTCGACTACAGTTTTAACAGGCTTCACATTGGAACCCGTGTGGCAAAGATTGCAACCTATGAATGTTATTGTTGATGTAAAAGTGTCATGAATTTGTAAGGTTTACTGTTTTACTGATCAGAAACCGATAAAATGCCATCCATTGAAGATATATACGCTTTAGTCACTTAGAGTATTCCTCGAGTCCGAGTCCTTTAGCATCTTTCTCGCCTGCGCCAACATCATTTTTATTTAGTCGCTTTCTCGTCAACTATCATGTAGAGAATGATTTTATTTTTGTTTTATCCCTTTACGTTCCGAGTGGAACGGAGGGCTTCAAGCGTGAGCTTTGTAGTTTCAGAAGCAATTGTTGTTTATTTCTTCTACGAGGTGGGTTACCTAGCCTCACACCCAACCATCCCTCTTTACCGGTATAAGAATAAAACTTGTGCACTGTGGCAGAGTGTAATTCCATTATGGGTAAATTTTGTTTTGATAAAGTCTCACAGTGTTATACAGTAATGTTTACTCATGATGTTTCGAGCATAATTTATTGCTCATAATCATATCAAGGTAATCACACGACTTCCTAACTTCATTTATATAGTTCATTATTTTTCACTTGATTTGACTGGTAGTAGTAGTGTCCATATTTCGGTATGAGTGATGAATCATTCCTATTGCATGTGTTGGGTGTAGACTCCATGAACAAGGATTCAGTAATCAACCTCTCTCTCCACCTATCTAGATTACTTTTTAGAATTTTAACCCTCTCCAGACCACCCTATTGTGTGGTTGTGTGTTAGTGCATGCATTGCAATGTAGTGCTGAGCTTTTTTCTAAATTACTTATCTTTTCAGGGTCAACCATTCTTACCTTAGCTAAATTCTTATGTTCTGACAATCTGACTACCCCTGACCTACTAGTTTGACCTATGTAGTTGACCTAACTCACAGTCATTGCAGGGTATTTTGTAAATTATATTATTTTGTCTAATTGGTTCAACCGGGTCCTTTAACCTACAGAGCTTGTCAGTGAGTGAGTTTTTAGGTTTAAATGTCACCCTAATTCCTGCCGTATTTAGAGTCCTACGTAGGGTTTCAGATGTCCCCTTTCTATATGGTATAATATTGGATGCCTTATAATCCCTCTTATTCATGTTTTTATTACTGGTTTCACAATTATTTTTATTTTTTTTGGCCTTTTTCAATCTTCCTAATGAATTTTAAAGAATAGTTAGTTATTTAACACCAACGCCTCTTCCATCTGTTTCATTTCATCATTTAGGTCTTTTTTTGTGCTATTTAGTGCCACTGCTCGGTTTGTTAAACACTTAACTAAGCCTACCTTAACAGGCAACGGATGAGATGACTTAAAGTCTAAATATCTACTTGAATGGGCTGGTTTTTTGTACACACTAGTGTGCAGTTAACCTTCTTCTATTCGTTTTATTTTACAATCTAACATCATAGCTAATTCTCCTTATTCATTTTCTGCTTCAAATGTGAATTTTATTCCCTCCACTAGTGAGTTTATGTGTGTCAAGAAGCTAAAGATATGTTCTGTTTTCAACACTGTGAAAGTGTCATCCACATATCTCCACCATATTTTTAAAGTAGGATTGATTGTATTAAGAGGCATATTTTCCCAGCTGCCCATAAATATATCTGCTACGATAGGGGACATTGGCGATCCCATTGCTATAACACTGTGAGACTTTATCAAAACAAAATTTACCCATAATGGAATTACCCTCTTTACCGGGTTTTCCAAGCAGGTAAGCGAGATTTATAAGTGTGTTGGCCGGGGCTCGAACCTAGTCTACGTGCATGGCTGCTGAGTATTCTACCACTGAACCACCGTAGCTCTACTCAGAGACTAATTATAGTTAACTATGGGAAAGAAAATATGAGATCGTAGTATACTTAAAAATTCTACAAGTACATCAGTCGTCACACCTAAAGTTTTATTCACTGGTGTTCTACAATTGTCAAGCAGGTCCTATTCCATTGTGTAAACTATTTAAACGAAATAACTGTTTGATAATGTGGAATTGTGACCCACAGGCTTAACATTTGCTTTTTCGCTACTGGTCACACATCTACCTCAGTTACTGTTGACTGGATAGTACCATTATCTAAAGTAGATAGAGCATTATTCGAATGCACGACCTACCGGTTGAATGAAAGCCAAATTCTTAAGTCAATAAGCTACATCTTCACAGGCAACAAAATATAGTGATAACATTAATTTAATTTTTGATTTTGATTTAATTTTGATTGTAGCTTGATTCCACACAGTATTTTTGGTACACGTATGAAATTTTCAGCATTTGATATCGGTAGCCTATATTTAGCAGGCCGATCATTGATATCAGGTGTGCGTCGGCCGGGGATCGAACCCCGGACCATGTGCATGGCCTGCGAGGGTCCTATTTACTGTGCCATTGACGCAACATATACTACAAAATTACTTGCCTTTGCCATATCAGATCATGTTTAATACATGGTAATATAATATTATTCAGTGAATTGCATTCCAAACACAATCTACAAAGAAGACGATTAAATTTATTGGAAATATTGGGTTTTATGCCTTTTCAGTCTAAATGTTTGTTGGCCACTTAATTTTTAAATGATGAAACATACAGTTAAATTCAGAAATTTTTGCAAAATAAATATTTGTTTTCTTTGAAAGGCATATTCAATTAATATATTTTTATATGTTTATTTTCACTTAATCCTAGGTACACTGAGTGTTCTTTTACCGCCTCGAATACATGATGAACATTCAGGCAATATAGCTATGCTACGTTGGCCGGTGACTACAGTACAATTTTGGGGTGAAAGTGCTATCGGTACATGGCAAATACGATTGGATAGTATTTTAGGCACTGAAATTAGTCGTGTTGATCCAGATAATATTAAAGGATTTTGGCGATCTGTTTGGATTGTTGCCTATGGTACTGATGAGTTTCCTATACGTCTTAAACCTCCATCACCTAGTCGCCCACCACCTCCAGTAAGTATTTTGTTCATATACCATGATTTTATTTATGTTTTATTTTATATATATATATATATATATATATATATATATATATATATATATATAGTTCACTTTTTTGTTCATTCAGTTTTGTGTATACAGAATTATATTCCAAGATGTTGACAGTTGTACTGAGTCACCCTTGTTAGATGTATCCGGTGTGACGTAAATGAATATAGATTCTGTTATAAGTCTCTCTTTCCATTTGTTCATATTAATTTTCAAGATATAAACATTGTTCCAATCGATATTGTGGTTTTTGTCCCATGCATCTGCATCTATAGATGAAAGCTTGTAAGCTTGTGTTCCTGTTGGTTGACCTTTAGTTAGGTGTTTATGTTCATTCACTCTTATTTTGAGTGATCTGGACGTTTGGCCCACATATTTAGTCGGACACTCGGCACAAGATATCTGTTTGTAAATCACATTGTTTTTATCCATCATTTTTTATGGGATCTTTCAGTTGACTCATTTTATTTTAATTAGACTCGTCGGTTTGAACTTCGTGCAAATCCCAATATTTTTGAGGTTTCTTCGAATTGCCTCTGATGTACCATTTTTGTATGGTGTTGTGACTGTTTTTTTTGCATTCTTCCGTCTTGTCATTCTCCAGTTTTACCCTCTTTTTTTCTCTTTTCTTATATTATCTTTGATAAATTCTTTTGGGTAGCTGTTGTCGAGTAACCTTTTTAATAGGACGTGTATTTCTTTAGACTGGCTCTCTGGTCTTGTTGTAAGTCTGCACATTCTATCTGCAAGACCTTGTATTAATCCTCGTTTTACCGTGAGAGGATGAGTTGATTGATAATCAAGGGATCTTCCAGAGAGTGTAGTTTTTCTATAAGTCCTGCTTTCACAACAGGCTGATTGGTAGGGGGAAAACGTGTAGCCAACTGTCATCCATGGGCTATATTCACAACGTGGTCAAGCATGTGGACATTTTCGCTAATCCTTTCGATAGGATTACGAGAATTCCATCGAAAGTTTCTAGAGTCACCTAAAAAGGCGAATCAGAGCCTTGAATGAGTCAAGAAACACGATGGTTTACAGCTATCTCGACGAAGTTTTGCACAGAAATTCGTTTAACCTAACTATGTGGACTCCTATAGGAAACTGGTGGGTGGGGGTTCCTTGGGAGATATACAAGGACGTTATCATATGTAACTACTTTTTAAAATGGCATTACTTTTATATGGACTTTCTTTTAAAATTACGCACTTGTACTTCAGACGCATCTGATTGGTCGATGGAGATTTGTGAAGATCTTCATGGGTAGTTTCTTTTTGGACTGCTGTAGTTTCAAGTCACTTTGGAATACGTTACCACATACAGTCAGGCCATTCCTGAAGTCTATTAGGAACTTACATATCACACTAGGGTAGATAATACCATTAGAGATCATATCTTAATCGATTAAAACAAACCGAACGAGATAAAATCTATTCAACAGAGAGATGGGAGCCCAAGTTTTAAGCAGGCCGCCAGTGTCAGCTTGTGGTCAGGCTTGGAATCAGTGAAATTCCTGAAAACCAGTTGACTGGTTTAAAATAGTCGATGCATTTAGTACAATTTTTTGACTAGATAGGGAGGGTTAAACTTGTTATATGAGGGGTGGCACTGCAAGGTATACAAACCTGATGCGTTGACGAAAACTGCCATATTCGGTGACCGCAACATCAGCCACAACGACAACAATACTTGAAAATACACGACAAGATGGACTGAACGTTGACAAAAGAGCTTTTACTATATGAAAAACAGCAGTTCAAATACCTTACTCTATGCTGAAGATATTGTTTTTAAATGACCTTGGTAGACGTTAGGTTTCAATACATAAAACATCCCCATTCAGACATTTATAAGACAAAAAGATTGAGCAAAGAAGCATTTACTTTTCAATTGGATCTAATTGAAAATAAATATATATTTTCGCTCAATCTTTCTGTCTTTTAATAACACTCAATTGACTGAAAAGTGAGTGATACGAGTTAGTAACCAATCAGAATTCCGCCTTCATAAAATGTGAGAAATACAAAAAACCCTACGAGTGAGCAATATCTGTGAAACGATAGAAGACGAAAGACTTGGTAAAGGAATGTAAATTAGTAATTGATATCTCTGTATAGCCAAATTTTATACAACTTATCTTCAACGCCAATTTGCACAGATCTTCGTACTGTGGTACTTATGGCCTTCATTTTGTGATTCTTTGTGTTCCTTTCACGCTGTATCATTAGCCTTCTGTGGCATCAAATGTATCTCCCTGACATTTGATATTTTTATGCCGATGAACATCTTATGTTGCACTACTGATAACATTTATCAGTAGTACACATGGTTTAAATGTAAAAGATTTCTGATAGAAAAATCTGTTGTACTACTGAAAACTTACTACTTACATCACTGTTGTACTACTGGTGGATAATTTGTGGAAAAATTATCATTCTAGTTCACTATCACATATTTACATCATTCAAAACATCGAAACTTTAACTCGCTTTAAGACTTATTTTAATGATCTCAACTCTAGAAATGTTTTGTATCTGATGTTGTTTTTTTGTCGTCTATCACATTATAGAATTATATAATGCCATTCATGTTGTGAAAACGTTAAGGACAAATCTTTGAATTTCTGTGAAGCATTTTGTATCAAATTTCTTAGTTTATTGCTTTACAATAAAGGTTATTGACTCGCTACGGCATTGTACATTGAACCTGTAAACTTTATTTTACTGCACACTTGTAGTTGTAGTATTAGTAGTAGGCGAAAAATTGTTCGTTAAGGCTAGTAACTTCATCATAAACCATTATTCAACTTAAAACTCAGAAATACCTCCATTAGGCCAAGGATAGGATGTTTGGAATTAGGAAGATAGAAGTAGTCTTTTGTCTTAGCCAAATGGCCTTGAAACCGTGCACTGAGTTGGTTGTCCTTGGTGAAAGTTCACTTTGAATTATACAAGTTATTGACTAATTTAAATATGAACTACGTTACGAACCAATATGAATTAGAGAATTATTGATAAGAAAACAGTACTAGACATCTGTTTCGGTGTAGTTTTAGTCTCTTCAGTGATGTACACTTATAATCGTATTGCCTCTTTATCTATGAATTGTAATTTTGTCACTCCGTGATATGGACCTACCGCTAACGAACATTCACTTCCAAGGGTGACGAGCATCACCGCACGTTCCGCCTAAATGACTGAATAGTAAACGAACTTCACCACATAATCTGAAGGTCCCAAGTTCGCTTCCTGAATATGTCGTGGGTGTGCACTGATGAAGAGAGGTCAAAGTTAGGGCTAGAACAACTGTCCAATACTCTTTGGTTTCCAATGACCCCTCTAAATGATATTTGTTTGTGATGTGATACCTACACTGAAATTCATTTCTCATTGTGGTTAGATGAGGTGTTTCTGCCTATTAGAGTCTACTTTTATTCCTTCTATTCTTAAAATCAATACTAATAACAGTAGTAACAGCCATGTATGCAAAAAGATGAATGATATAAAAAAAAGTTTTGTTTCCTGAAGTTAGGTTAAAGAAATTAGCAACAAAACTTGACATAAAAGTTTTTTCGTTATTGTTGCTGTTGTTGCCTATTTTAAATATTCCTAACAAAAAACAAAATAACTAGAATTCTTTGTCTTATTGGTTGGTCTTTGTGTTTGTCTCGTGTAACTGCATACCTTTCCTTGTTCAAATAGTCTCCTTTTTTGGTTCTTTGTTTTCTTGCATTCACTAATACCTACTCGTTTGACTCAACAATCACTTGCATTCCTACTCAGTTAGGTGTAAGCTTTCGCTTAACGAAGCTTTAGAAATGAATACAGGAGAGTCAGGCAAGACTGTCCGCTATCACCGATGATGATATTCCTAATTTTAGTGGACTGGATTGTGCGGAACACCCTAAGTTGGGAGCGAGAAGACAAGTATACGTTGAACCGATAATATGACTTTAGAATATCGTGATTTTACGGATGATTTGGGTTTCATGCGAAAACCAACAAACTGATTGAAGAAGCAGCTAAGACAGCATTTCAAGTGAATATAAAGAAGATAGAAGTGATGAAGATAACCAGTGACCAACAACAACAACAAACATTAATCGCTATCAACGGAGTAGATCTGTAAGCGGTCACTTCCTTCAATTAACCAGGCAGTGTTGTTTTAGCTACAGATGACAATATCCGTGAGAATGTCAAAATCAGAATCATAAAGGCAAGGTAGACTTTCAGCAATCTGTAATCATTTTGGAAGTTTTCTCCGCTTAGTATAATAGAATGAAATTCGTATTTTCGACCCCAATGTGAAGTCAGTGACTTCTGTGTAGGTCAGAAACTTAATGAAATCGTCACGGAAAGCATTTCCAACAGGTTGCAGATTTCTATCCACAACTGCCATCACTGGCTCTCTGTGAGGATTAGATGACCAGCCAGCCAGAATTAACGATAAGAAACTATGGAAACGAGACAACAAAGAACCTTTTGCTCAATAAGTAAGTATACAACAAAAAATTGAGATCCAGACGACTATTGCGTGACATCACACGCCAGGCCCTCTAGTAGAACCCTAGTGGGAAACGACGAGTTGGGTGGGTGTTGAGGGTGAGGCCGTGTAGGAAGGAGATAAGAGACTGTGAGCAATCGTGGGGCCAGCCAGGGATCCCCTCATGGAATTGTATTGAATGGAGATGTACTGTTGAAGCTGTACGCTCCACTCGGAACAGAGGAGAACAACAAGATAATAATAATTTTTCTGTGGAAAATTATACTCCCGCGCTGACCAGACCTCTATAAGTAGAGGCAGTTCTGAATGTGTGCCCGGGTGACTGAATATCAAGCGCTCAGTAGACTAGTTAGCTACAGTGACAAAGTTACTTGTCTAATAACATCATATTGGTTTTTTGTTTCCTTTTGAGTTGCTCGTGGAACATAAGGCTTCAGACTTGAATTTTGAAACTGCAGTAA